CACAGTTGCTGGCAAAGAAGGTCTGTGGTTCAAATCCACCAGAAGCACCAAAGGAGAACAATCTCATGATGTGTTCTGATAAAGATTACAGCTAAGGAATTCTGATAGGACAGTTCTTCTCTGTCATCTGGGGGCTAGGAGTCAAAATCAACTTGATAGCACCTAAAACCAACACGGGGTGGGGGGAAGGAGAGGGAGAAGGAGGGAAGGAGGGACTGAAAGGGAGAAGGAGGGAAGGAGGGAGGGAGAGGGAGAAGGAGGGAAGGAGGGAGGGAGAGGGAGAAGGAGGGAAGGAGGGAGGGAGAGGGAGAAGGAGGGAAGGAGGAAGAGAGAGGGAGAAGGAGGGGAGGAGGGAGGGAGGGAGGAGGGGGGGAGAGAGAGAGACTCCAGAGGACTGTGACTCAGACACCAGGTCATCTTTTCAGGTAATCCTTACAAGGCATACTTACCAACAGAGTGTACTTCTCCAATCGCATACTCAGTTACATGATTTGTTTTGGCCAGTGAAAGGGATAGAAAATCACATAGTTGGTTCTAAGCAAGCCTCGGCTTGACAGGGCCGGAACGTTTTTGCGTGTTGTTTTGGACTTCTGTTAATGCCATGTGAAGACTGTCTACTGAATCACCATTCTCTACTCTGGGCCTCAGATGGAACATATGTGATGTGTGAACTAGAATCCAAGACTTAGAATGAGAAGCAGAGGTGGCTGGCCAAGCTATTCCACAGCAGTCAAGCCACTCCAGTAGTCAGTCTGCAAACCCAAGTGAACAAACTGCCTTAAAGCCCCTACATTCGGATGTAATTTGTTAGGCAGAGTTGTTGCGCTACTAATAGTACATCTCTATTAAAAATTAAAGAGAGGTTGAAAGACAGCATGTTCTTTCTTACATGCAAACTCGTTTCTTATTTATACTAATAGTCTGGCCCCAGAAGGCACTTCAGTTTGCAATACTTGCCATAAAACTGTAAATTTAGAACATTAAAAAAGGTTGTGTTTATGAAATGTTCCTTAGCATGACTATATATCTCAGTGTCCTTAAGACAGTCCCAGATTTTTCTACTGCCATTATGTGCTAACTTTAGACAATAAATATTCTGGTCATCCTATTTTTATTCAACTTTATTTCTAATCTTTGTACAGACTAGTTGAATCTGTTTAATCTCTTCATCACAGCCTGATCCAACTGCTCCCACTGCTGCAAGTAATACTCTATATAAACGTTTTCTGGATAGAATTCCTATTTGGTTAGGTGAAATAATAAAGTCAGGGACCTTATCCATTCTAAACTACTGGCATATTCTAAACTACTGGCATAGTATAAATCAATGAGATCCTGGTTAACTGACATAAAAGGTTTAATAATCTAGATCACAAATATTAAGGGCTCAAAAGAATAACATTATATTAAAAATCAAGTCCCCCGAAATGGCTATGTTCAGAAGGCAGTGAGAACAGCATCTGAACACATCTGCTTAGTAATTCAGGCAAGTGGGAGGTTCATTTACTATTAACCTTAACCAGACACATTTTCATCACAATTAATCGTGATTATTTTTTATTGCATTTCAAATGTTATCCTGTATTTGGGGTGGTCAGGAATGCAACTAAACAATTCCAGATCGAGCTATCTTTTATGAATATGGTCATGATGCATTATCGAGGGCCCTTATGAAAATACTGTTATGCAAAAAGTTCACGGACCAAAGCAAGACATTAATTTCCACAACTAGATGTGTCCTTAGAAAAGAAATGAACACTATATATAGAACAGACAGAAGCTTTGATGTTCAGTATGTATCAGAACAGAACAAAATACCCATGCATAAAACAGAAAAAGGAACTCTGGTGGCTTGTTGTTTCTGTGTACCATAGAGTCTGAACCGACCTCCAGCTGACCCTCCAGCAGGTTTTCAGAGGCAGTTAATTGCATGGGAGGAGATTACCCATCCTTCTCCTGCAGAGCAGCTGGTGGCCTTGAACTGCATACTTTTAGGGCTGCAGCACAGCTTCTTACCACTAAGCCACCAGAGCTCCTTAGTAGGAACTGCACCACCAATACAAAGACATGCAGTTCAAATCCACCTGCTGCTTCATGGGAGAAAGATGGGCAATCTCCTCTCATGCAATTCTTACCTTTGAAAATGCTTTCAGGGTCATTTATGGCTCAGTTCTGACTCTATAGTAAATAACAACATAACAGAAATGCTTTTGAAAATGTCTCTGTTCTCTATTATTATAATAACATGTTGATTGCCATTAAGTCAAGCATGACTCTTAGCGACCCCTATGAACAAAAGGCCTGAAGCCTTTCTATAACTATTGTAATTTATCAAAGTTCATAGTTTCCAGAGGCATGTTGTTTAGGAAGTAGATGCCACTCTTGCTTCTATGGACACATTATTTTTAAGCTCTGCAATAATTCTGTGGTGTATATACAATTGTTATTCCCATCTTGCTGATGACGGGACTGATGCTGAGGGAAATTAAGTTCCTGACCAAGAACGATCAGTTTGTAAACTAGGAAACATGGTGAGAAACCCAAGCAATCATTCTCAGGGAGAGTTAAGAAAACAGCAGCCCTGTTTTCTTACTTATTGAAAAGTGCCACCACAGCCAGCTGGTCTGTTATGCTTTGTGCTCTCACTGTATCTTGCTCTACTCAACCGTTGCTGACAGTCTATTTGTTGCAGGGCCTTTTAGCACTGCTTTGTCCTTCCCCTGTCAAACTCATGCAGCTCAAATCCGTATGCTCCAAGATCACTAACCTTCTGTTACCCCACAGTTTTCTCACCTTTTCTTAATTCTTCCATATCTCTCATCATCTAAAAGTAGTCCTTCTGAGCCTCCTTCTCATCTCTCACCTAGGATAAGAGTGACTAAGGTACTCCATGTGATGGCCGTAGTAGTTTTACCTAGACAGCACCATTCCACGGACAAAACCTATCTCTTTTTGAGGCCATATGTCTCTACTCTTAGTCCATACAATTTTGGTGAGTCTGTCCATTTTACCCTATGGGGAAATGACCATGTCCTAGTAATTATTAGTCCTTAAGCTTTTAATTACTAAGTTAAAGCTGTTTGCTTCGCCCTGGGGTCACGGCACTCGTAGAATACAGGCTGGCTGCAGGTGTTCCATCATCATAACCATCACTGGCAAAGAGTCTTCCTGTGAAATGAGGTACACAGAACTGATGACTCAATGAAGACAGATTCTGGATGCCATTGTTTGGTATCTGGATCCAGCAGAAACCAATTTTGGTTACTGTTAATATTCAGGGTCTAATTTAACATCCCATACAAAAGACAGGGAAATTAACACTCAGAGAAGTCTCATACACTCAGTACAAGATTCTTCCAGAAGTTCCAAGCAAGCTGTTATTAGCTAACATATTCCCTTTTCTGTTTAGTTCTCATTGAGTTGTACTGCTTCCATTTGCATCTATGAGTCCTGAGTAACAGTCATAAGAACTGAGATAATAGTATACATATGTTTTGATATAGACAATAGTATACATAATGTTTTACTATAAAATGTATAGTTCTGTGTCTAGCACACTGAAACATTCAACAAGTGTTGCCTTACTATGACTTTTTCCTCTATATCAGTTGTTCTCCTATAGCCAGATCTACCTCCACACCTTCCTGGGATATCACTTAAAGGCTTTTTTGAGATGCTCATTCCCCCATCTCTAAAATGTGTTTGCTGATAATGGCTAATTCCCAAAACTGTTGTGTGGAATCAATGAAAAGATGCACTTGACAAGAAAGTACAAAGTTCTTCCAATTTTGGTTACTATTAATCTTCAGGGTCTAATTTAACATCCCATATAAAAGACAAGGAAATTAACACTCAGAGAAGTCTCATACACTCAGTACAAGATTCTTCCAGAAGTTCCAAGCAAGCTGTAGACGTGAAGATGTTGCTAGTTCATTTGAAGGTTGTCTCAGGACTAGAGGAGGGCCAGGCTCTAATACTCAGTTGACTCAATAAATAATGCAAATTGGGCAACAATACTAAAGGGGCTTGAGTGACACCATATTGTCATCTCTAGGAAACAGAAGAGAAAAACACTACTATTGATGCAGTATCCCCACATGCTCTGACCTATGTAGGGAATTCCTTGTATTCCCCATTCCAGAGTAATACATTCTTTCTCTTTTGACAAGCTAGTTCTTTTTTTTTTTTTTAAAAAAAGAAACTATATGTATATATTGGAGTTATCTAGCTTCTTCCATCTTTAAGGAGGAAACCTAATATATAACTGGAGAAAGATACTAATTAATAGCAAACTTCAACTTTAACTCCAGCCAAGTAGAACTTGAACCATTCAATTTAAAGAAACCCTGGAATAAATAAAGGAACTTCAAAGCAAATGCACAATTTTAGCTTGAATGTTTTATTGAGCGTATGGCGAAAGCTTCTTTGCCAAAAAATTGAAGATGGTTAATGAGGAAAAATTGGTGTTTTCATTTGGCCAGCCAGCTTCTGAGACAGGGAGTGTTTGCTGAGAGATAACTCTATTCCATAGAAAAGACAGCAAAATGATCCAGCCGTATGATATTGAACAAAACAGAGTTTTATAAACTGCCTGTCATTAACTTCATGCATCCTTCTCCAAAGACCTTTTGTGATAACAGGCACATATTTCCTTTCTACCAATCCCCAAAGATATTAAACAACAATCCAAAAGGAAGACATGTCTAAGTTTTAAACTTCTTTAAACCATATAAACAGCTGCCCTTACCTTTGCAGAAAAGGCACAGGAAATAAGAGACTATGAGCTGCTTCTGGGCTCCACCATCATTAGCTTTTCTTGGGTGCCATTTTGAAAAAGATCCTGCACCCTGGGCAAGACCTATCGGGTTCTTTGATGCACACTGTTAGTGCTGCATTCGGAGGAAATAAAGGCTTGCCATTTCTTTGCATATTTCATCACACTTCTGAGAGAAACATTCTCCAGCTGTATAAAAATGAAAAAAAGAGAAGGCTGCTCTCACCTGCAAGTGCTGCGAATTGTCAACCATGCTGTCCTCTCGCCTGCGAACTTCTTCCAGTAACTGGGCATTCTTCTTCTTTTCCAGCTGTTGATTGTGCTTGAGGTTGGCCACCTTCTTATTCTGATCCTTCATATGCCTGAGAAAAGTCAGCACAACTAGGTTACCTTTAGCTCCTAGAAAAGCATACATTAACCTGACAGATTCTAGGAGGACTAAGTATAGTATGTCTGGACACAGGGTCAGGAAAAGGTGAGGCCTCAGAATGTTTTAATTAACCGACCACAAATATGGATCGGGTACTCCATGCCAGCACCAGAATGATAATGAGAGCAGTGTCGTCTCCAGTGGAGTCTCGTCTTTTTTGCGAAAAGTCAGACAAATTCCAAGGAGAAAAACAGCTACAACTCTGGTTTCGAAACAGAAATGAATATACACAGTGTGTGAGATAGGTGAGAACTGTACACGTGGGCAGACGGTAGGGTGAAGGGAGATGACTTTAGATGCTGTGATTGGGGGACCTTTCAAGGATCAAGACTACGGTTGGGACATGAAGAAGGTGGCCATTAGGGAAGCTCCTCGAGTCGAGAAAGAGCACAATTGTATCATTACTAAGACAGAAGTATTGAGCTAATTCAAGGAACTGGAAGGTAAGACGGTGAAGGAGAGGAAGGGTGACAGGTGAGGGGAGGGTAAAGGTGAGGACTCATAGGCCCAAAGGCCTGGGAAGAAACACTCTTTTCTTCAAAGACTAATATTAGACTATTATTTATTTCTTTTCTTCTAAGAATAATATTTTAATATTATTCTCTTAATAATATTCTAATTACTATTATTCTTTTGGATCACATTCTAATGCTGAAAACTCAATCCATTTTAAAACAGCAATTACAATCAATGCCACTGATCATTATGTCGAGAAATTTTGGAATGGGGCAGCGGGTTTTGCTCTGTATATTTTCACCAAACATAAAATTACATAGGGAAAAAAAAGAGCAATTACAGGCTCAAATCAAACACATTGTCAAAACTCAGTTCAAAGAGAATAACACTTAGGCTAATCATAAAGTTAAATTAAGTCCCTGGTGCACAGGATGAAGGTTCTTAATGAACCTAAAGGGCGTCGAAGTGCAAAGTCATAAAGTGAGAACATGAGGGAAAGAGTCAGGATAAAAGAGGGGTTAAAAAGGAGGTACAGGCTTAATTTAGAACATTTCACCAGTAGCATTTAGCAAAACATTCCACAGATTTAGGCAACCATGTCCACGGCAGCTGTTATAAATCTAATCAACCAACTGAGGAGGCAGGAGGGCAGACAAAAGACAGGGAGGCAATGATTCAAAAGAGGAGAGTGGACCATAGCCATGCAGGCCCCTTCCAACCCCTCTGTCATCCACGTCTGCCCACCCCACCCCCAGCATTGCTACACCAGACACTTAACGTTGTGTGTTCTAAGCCCAGCTCCCAAAACTAGCATGTTGAGGATCACTGCTTTGGTAGAAATCTGAACAAGATGAGAACTACATGAAAACCAGCAAGCATCATATTTAAAACAATTCAAAACCAAACAAATATAGCTCAATGAGAACTTGCACTTCTCTGTTGCTGAGCTGACCTTCCAGTGGGTTTTCAAAGGCCCACCTAATCTCCTGAGGAGCAGGTGTTTGACTAGTGGATTTGAACTGCATGCCTTTGGGTTGGTGGTACAACCCCTTACCACTAAACCACCAGAACTCCCCTCTATTTCTATAGTTCATAAAATCATGGACTAAAGAAAGGGAAGGGGCACAGGGAGGTATAGAAGGATTAATGGAAATCAAAATGGCAGGGAAGAAGTCGGAAATGTGGACTACTTTGTAGACATTGAAAGTAATGTTACTGAACAAAATGTGTATAAATGGTTGAATAAAAATTAGTTTGCTTTACAAATCTTCACTTAAATCACAATAAAAAAGTGTTTATTCCCCTAAGACCTCTGGTACAAGGAAACAGAAGTCCAAGAGAATTGTTTACCACATTGCAGAATAGTCTATCAGGCATTAATAAAAATATTTGGAATATCTGAGCTTCATATAAATATTTACAAAACTCGCTGACTATTTAAATGATAAAATATTCTTTTGGCACTAATATGCTAAATGGCATGTGAGAAAATAGCTGCTTTGTTAGCCATTAGTTGGAACGGAAAATTTTTGTCCCCTCTTTCTTGTTATCACCTGATATGGCATGTACACATATGAAAATAGTGGCTTAAATTCATCTGCGCATTCACTTTTAGAAAATTATCTTTGGTAACTATAAAGATGTTTAGATGAACCTTTTGCTTCCTAGTTGAACAAGGATGTATTATTTCCAGTGCTCACTCATACTAACTCAAAGGGACTGTGATCTCCAATCTTTATGAAGGAGGGCCAGGAATGAGATAAAATTGAAAAATATTATCAGAGACATCATTTAATTAGAAGGCAGTTATAGATTATTAAATAGGAGCAACTACCAAATGCATTTCTAAGTAATTTTAGTGAGAAATAAAATAAATTAACATCATAAACATAATTTACATATTAAAAGAATTTCCACAAAGTTCTTGGCATCAGACTGAAAATATCTCCCTTCCCCTCAGGATTAATGCAATGAGAAATTTTCACAGATTGTAAAAGAATAAGATGCTGCCAACCTATTTGTTCCTTAAAGATTCCCTGGATTGAAAATGGTTGCATTTAAAGGGATGGGAAATTGAAGTTCAAATACTGTGATGAGGCTGATCTTCAGCATTCTTCAATCATTTCCTTGTACAGAGAGCATGTGTAAACCCCTGCAGGGGAGCCATGGTTTTCAAATGTATTTCTAGCACGAGAACTCTTTTTTTCCAATAAATGCTTTCATATGCAGAACTATTTTGACTGAGATAGAAAAAATTGAAAGGGGGAAAATTGAGCCAAGTGTCATCTACTGTATTTGTTGTGTACCATCAAGTGGAAATAACCAATAGTTGGTTTACAGAGGCAGTTAGTTTCAACATTAAGCAAACAAAAATCCTTACCACTGGAACAAGAGACAATAGCATGATCGGGAGAGCAAGGTTGTAACTGTCAACTCTTTCATTTTACTTGGATCCATAATCAACACTCACGCAGGGGAAAAAAAATCAAAGGATTGTATTGGGAAAACCAAAAGATTGCATTGGGGAAATCTTCTGTCAAGGACACAGAGATGGAAAATAAGAAAGCAATAGTATTTATAACAGCCAACCATAAATTGAGATACTTAGAAATAAACCTAACTAGAGACTCAAAAGATCTTTAAGGGAAAGAGCTGGTGTGAAAAACAAGATATACACACTTTGAAAATAAACGAGTGAAAGAAAGGAAGGAAGGGAAAGAAGGGATACAAGGAAAGGAAGGAGGGAGAGAGAGAGGGAAGGCGGGAGGAAGGGAGGGAGGACCCTTACAAAGAAAATTCCCATGCCATGCTAAATAAGTGTCAGATCCCTTTAGGTAACCCACTCCAACATTTTTAGCCCAATGACTTTGTGTGGGTCAAAACCTGGAAACAAGAGCCCTTAAAGCCAGCATAGATGAGATCTCATACTGTAACACTGGTAACCCCAAATGCTGTTAAAGGTATAGGACACATTCCATTAATCCATCACTCCTAAGTAAAGAAAGCGTCTCTAAGAACACTGCCAGACGGACTCCCTCTAATTGACCCTCACAGGAAAGCCATCTACTGAAAAGACTACAGCCCTTCTCTCTTAGAGTACCAGAAGCTGACTAGTCAATGTTTGGCTGAAGATTAAGAATCATCAGGCCCTGTGCAGTTGCATCTGAAGCTGATTGGTTTACACATGGCCGAAGGTTAAAGAAAACAATAAATGAACTTGGACTGTGAAGCCTATCTCTGCTTCACCCCTTTTTATGTTACTAGTTTCAATAGTAGTATTATTTTCCTTGTTGTTGTTTGATGCCTTCAAGTCAAGTATGACCCATAGTGACCCTGTGAACAAGAGATCTGAACCCTGAACTACACTTTGCCACCCTCATAGGCCCTGAGACACTAGAGCCCACTGCAGCAGTCACTGTGTCAATCCACCTGGTTGAGGGTCTTCCTCTTAAGATTGGTTAATATAATTATTCCCAATTAGATCTGATGCCAAAGATTAATCTTTAGACTAATCCACCCTTGTTTACTGCCTTTACTTAAATGGGGAATTCGAGGCCTAGTAACCAACCTAGCATCTCAAATATTTAAAAGGAAAATACTGTACATGAGAGAGTACCAAGAATTAACACATGACATAGACACATAGGTTAATAATGAAACAAACCAGAGTTGATTGATGACCATGATTAACAGGAATATGGGCATCAAGAGGGGAGAATTAAAAGGGAAATGCAATAAGGAATTATAGCCCTGAAAAGAAAAACATGATGTATTATCCCCACCCCATGTACTTCCTTATTCCTAAGTCATGTCCCTTCCCTCAGCCCTCATTCCTCAAAGGAATCACGCCTGCACTAGGAATAAAAGATACACTCTCCCACCATCTTACACCCAGATTTTTGGAACATGAGCTCCTTCGGGTTGCCTGCTAATAAATTTTTCCTCTTTCAAGTTAAAAAACAAAACAAAAACCCTCAAACAACAATAAACAAAGACAATTATAAAACACTTCTGTGAGAAACAATAAAAGATCTATATAAATGGAATAATCTTTCCTGTTCATGGATTGTTGTTGTTGTTTACTGCCTTCAAGTTGCACATGATGAAGAGAGACCCTATGAACAAAAGGCCTGAAGCCCCTCTACAACTATCGACATTTATCAAAGTTCACAGAGTTTCTGGAGGCATGTTGTTTAGGAAGTGGATAAAAATGACAATCCTACCAAAAGCAATCTACATATTTATCACAATCCCAATACAGATACTAAATTCATTTTTCCAAAGATAGAGAAAAGGCAATTGGCAAGTTTATTTGAAAGAGATCTCAAATAAACAAAGTACTTATGAGAAACAAGAATGAAGTAGAAGCCATAGCACTTCCTGATCTCAAAACTTACTACACAGTTACAATAACAAAAATAGCATGGTACTGGTACAATGACAGGCACACCGACTAATGGGACAGAATCAAGAACC